CAATCGCCTTTACTCATCACCTTGAGTAATCCTGAAACACAGTGATCGGTGTACTTGCACAGAGTTTTCCCCAAGTAAAGCCTGGTGACTCACCAGGCTTTACTTCCGCCCCCACTAGGCTGAGCATTGTTTGTTTATGTATTATATATAGCTGCTATGACTGGTGTAGACAGGTTACAGAGTCTCTTTGGTGACATTTTTGGAAGCACAATGGTCAGAATGTAAACACATAGGGAGACTGAGGTTTTATTTTTTATTTACTGGAACTCTGAAACCTCTGCCTGTCTTTACTGGTCTACATGCTAACAATTTAAGCAAATTAAGTGACAAAAAAATTGGACACATTAATTAGGATGAAACAATTTAAGTGCAAAGAAAAGGACATTTTCATTGTATTTATTTTTATGTTTACTTAAAAAAAAAAAAAAAAAAAACTTCTTAGTGTTTCTAGTTAGGTATTCCAAGAGTTTTCTACTCTTACGCTGATCCCGTGTGCCCTTTTACAAGGTTTTTTTTTTTTTTTGTGGGACTTTGGAAACTGACGGTCTGATGGGACAGTCCACTGACGCCCCATTTCCTCGGTGTCTGACCGTGACATTTGCCGTGCTCCTCCTGAGTGTCGAGCTGGGATTGTGGGAGAGTTAATAGTCGCTTCCAATAACCTAGTCATATTTTCAAATTTCAGAACGAGAAGATCATACAGTCATTTGAATCAGGTGTTATGGAGGAGCAAAAACATCTAAAATATGGAGGGCAGTGGTCCCTGAGAACTGAAATTGAGAAATACTCCACTAGAGTTAGTCTACTGGATGAAATAAACAGAAGTTCACATAGTTGAGAGAGAGGGTTCGGGGTTCCTTTGTGTAAATATAACCGTCTTAAATATTCGTTTGTACCACTCTCCATCAGTCTGATAAATCATGGCCATCTAGCAGGGCCTGTACAGACTAATAGGAGGCCCAGACAGTGATCAAGACTAGCATGAAGGGAATGTATTGTGTGTGAATGTAAATGAGATGGCTATGGGGATGTACTGCCAATCTGGCGTTTGTGTTTTTATATATTTTTTACTTTTTGCAATGATGTTATTTTTATGTATCTATGGTTATTGTCTTTTTTGAAGTATTGTTTATTGTTGTACTACAGCCTTCCCCCTACTTCCTAGACAAATATCTCCTATGGGAGACTAATAAATGACCTTATCTTAGTTTACATGGTAAATGGTAATTGTTGCTCATGGTTGTTGCTAGGGTATCTCTTGGGTGCATGATACCTCATTGGACCTACGTAGGGAGTTTCTAATTCATGAAGACAGAGGTAGAAAATAGAGAGTTCAGAATGCATAATCATAGTGAACAGAGCAGAGGAAGTACTGAGGTCATGCTGATAGTTTGTCATGTACAGGGAATGAGTTGAAGAGAGAAGTGATTGCTGACTTGGTGACTTTGGTTTAAATGACTGATCAGATCTTTATATTTTAAATGTATTTCTGTGCACATTACTGTGTACCGTGACTAAAAATGGAATTTGATTTTGGTAGTTTTGGAATTAACAATACTGATGTGTCTAATGTAAACCCTTGCTTTAAAATTGCTTCTTATCTACCGACAGAAATGCCTACTATTGTGTGTGTATTTTTGAATGTTTTTCTTGGTTCCATATCTGTAATAACTGTTTGTGGAAACCTCCTGGTAATAATCTCCATCGTTTACTTCAGACAGCTTCACACTCCAACCAATGCTCTCATCCTCTCTTTGGCTGTGGCTGACCTGCTTGTGGGCGCCCTGGTCTTCCCTCTCACAATAGAGTTCTCTATAAGCTCGTGCTTGTATCATGAGGACATATTTTGCAAAGTAAGAAGCAGCTTCGACATAACGCTCAGCACATGCTCCATTCTGAACCTCTGTTGCATTTCTGTTGACAGATATTACGCAGTGTGCCAACCGCTGGCATACAGAACTAAAATCAGCAGCCATGTTATTGTGGTGATGATCTTGGTGAGCTGGGGCGTTCCAGGTGTGGTTGCGATCAGTCTAGTGGGGTTTAACAGAGCAAAATGTGGACAAAACTGTTTTTTTACCGTGGTGCTGGGAAAAATTCTGATTGTTCTGATTACATTTTACTTCCCACTGCTGGTAATGATATGCATCTACCTAAAGATTTTTTTTGTGGCACAGAAGCAAGCACACAGCATCCAGAGCATGAAAAACTCTGGGACATCTGTCAGTAAGATGGAGAGGAAGGCCACTAAAACCTTAGTGATTGTGATGGGAGTTTTTCTGCTCTGTTGGCTGCCTTCCTTTTTATGTACAACAGTTCTTACTTTTAGCAACGCTTCCCAGCCCGGCCCTCTGGTAGAAATACTCAACTGGCTTGCGCTGTCCAATTCAACGTTCAACCCGTTTATTTATGCTTTGTTTTATAGGTGGTTCAGGTCAGCGTTCAGAATGATTATTTCAGGAAAAATTATTTTGGGAGATTTCACTAACTTCAAACTGTTTTGATGTTTGAAGTTATTATTAGAGTAAATCCATAATGTCTAATTGAAATTATAATAGCACCTGTAGCTTTACGAGTGCTTATATGTGCTTAAGAATATGTTAACTGCAAACAAAGCCAGATTTGAATGATTAGTCAAAGCGAAATCTTTATCAGTGAACATGGAAAAATAATTTATTAATGTAAAACTAATTAAATTCAACTCCTTTATGTTCATGTGTTGTTGTTTGTAGACTTCCACCATATTTCAGTCATGTCTTATTTACACACACAAATTAAATAATTATATATGGGGTATATGGAGACTTTCAATCTAATATGTCCAATATGTTTTATGAAATATTCCATTTTCTCTTAGTCTCAACAGATAGAAACTAGCTTATACTAAGTCTGGTGCAAAGCATTTTATTATTCATGTTTTTTTGCACATTGTCTGTTAAATAAACTAAACTAGTATAGACACAGGAAGCAGGACTTACTGCAGACATAATTGTTAAACATTATTCTACATTTTCCAGCATCCAGCAGTTTTTTTATTATTATTGAAGATCATGTAAACACTTAATTGCCCTCATTTTTCTGTCAATCGTGCATTAATTTTCAAATATTGTTTCCTTAACACATACACAGCAGGGATATCCTAGGAAGTTGAAAGTATTTGTTTGTTGAACCCAAGCTGTTCATTCAGGTGCCCCATTTACATCCATGCCCACTTATACAAGTTTCCAAATAGGATGTGGCCTTCAGATTAGTTTGAGAACAAGCATAAAAATGGACATCCATGTCCACGAAGCTGATTGTAAGCCTTATCAGTGCAATACAAAGCATGGGCGCAATGGTGACAGACTTTCTCAAGAACTGATGTAAGGCAGGGCAAGTTTATTTGTATAGCACATTTCAGTAACAAGGCAATGTCAGATGCATTACATCAGGAATGTCAAAGTCAAATACACAGAGGGCCAAAAACCTAAATTTGCTACAAGCTGAGGGCCGGACTGGTTCAATGTTTATTAAAACATATTGAAATGATTGCACATAGCCTATTGAACCAAGACCTAACACAGTGTACATTATCTAATAATTAAATGAATAAAGCAATATTTTCTTATGGATTTGTCAGTAATTTCAAGTGAAACCATTTTTCAACAGGCAAAAAGACAAAAACGAACTTCTTCAAAGATAAGTCACATGTCCTGTACATTAACAGAATAAAGCAATATTTTGTTATGGCTCTGTCAGTAACCTCACGGGAAAACATTTTCAACAGGCAAATAGCAAAAAATTGAATTGTTTTTAAAAGCAAAATATGTTTCTTAATATCAAGATGAATACATAAATAAAAGTGCATGCATTATAAACAAAAAATGCATTACTGTGCACTATCATCCTACCAATCACTGCTTTCAAATAGTAAAATAAAAAAAAAAAATCAAATTAGTTGTATTCTTTCTTATGGCTCTTATCTGCAATCCCCCCCGAGTCCATTCAACTGAAAAAATACATATAAATAAATAAAATACAATAAATCCATGGCATACAGACAAAACAATACTTCAAGTATTGAAAAAAAACCATCACAAAAAAATAACGTGATTTTTATTTGTACAAAAATCATGTCTTTTTCAAACAAATGTAAAAATTGAACTGAATTAAAAGCTGAAAATACGTCACTGCTCTGAGGCTGAGCCTGATACTTGGTGGTTTCTCATCTTTTGTAAAAGTTCATCAATGTCTGGGTTAGGCTCTGAGCTGAGGAAATCCTCAGGTTTGAGTGAAGGTGATTATCAGTAAGACGGCTCCTGTGTGATGTTTTGTTTAGCTTCATTAAAGAGAGGTTGTTCACACAGGTATGTGCTGCCAAACAGAGAGTGTGCAAGCAGCTTGGATGCACAACTGGGGCATTGTGCCTGGGATAAAATGTGCAAACTCAGCAGCTCCCACTCCCTCATATTTTTCCTTCATTGAAGGAAGCTCAATCAACTCCATTGGTAGATTTGGTGGTGCGCTTTCTACATCAACTGCAAAAGGGCTGCTGAGCAGTTCAAACCTGCTTTTTTTTGGGCTTCAAAGTCAGCAAATCGGCGTCGGAAGTTGGCAGCAAGTATGTTGAGTTTATCAGCAAACTGTGCACTCGAGAACTCAGCGGTAGAGAGTTTTTCTTTCATGGTCTGGCAGCTGGAAAAGTGGCTAAAGTTTTCTTTCCGCACCTGCATCTCCCACAGACTTAGCTTGGTTTTAAAGGCCTTCACTGTACTGTACATATCAGAGATGACACGTGCCCATCCCTACAGCTGCAGATTCATCACAGTCAGATGACTCGTGATGTTGCAGAGAAACGCAATTTCACACAGGAAAGTTTCATCTTGGAGCTTTGTTGTGTCTTTCCCCTTGCTTTCCATGACCAGACATTTCCTCACAAAGCTCGAAACATCTTTGCAGCACCTTTCCCTGGCTTAGATTCTAACCCGGTTTTTAAAAGTGGTTCAACCTGTCTGTACACACATCTCCTGGTGCCATGCTTATAACAGGAAGTTGTCGTTGTTTTGAAGGACTGTGATTGGCTTATATAGGTTTAAGCTTTGCCCTACTCTGCACCTTATGGCAGGGGTGAGCAATCCTGGTCCTCAAGGGCCAGTGTCCTGCAACTCTTAGATGTCTCCCTGGTCCAACACACTTCAATCAAATAGCTGAATCCCCTCCTAAGTACAGTCAAGTTCTCCAGAGTCTCCCCGACAACCTTATTATTTGACTCAGGTGAGTTGAAGTAGAGATGCATCTAAAAGTTGCAGAACACCAGCCCTCATGGCCTGGAGTTGCCCACCCCTGTCCTATGGGTTTGGCATGTTTAAGACAACATTCAGTAGTATAATTCATCAGGTTTGTGGAGATGAAAATTTTTTCTTTAACTGATGAGGTGTGGACAAGATTATTTTATAAAAACAAATATCTCCACTACATCAATTTAAAAAGATACGGCTACGTGTGGACGAGGCCTCAGTTTCCTGTTCTTAGCTAACAGCTATGTATCCCATTGAGATGTTCTGTTGTATTTGCTTCAGTGGTTATTAAGCCTAAACCAAATCTGTCTCTCTATCACATATACAGACACACCACACACTAATATATTCACAACACCATGCACAAATTGTAGTGTGTCCCATCTGACTTGGTGACTGAATGTTTGCATTCATTATGATAATTAGATGGACTCCCCTATTTATTTGTCAGGTTATGCACAGAGAGGGCGACGCCTGTGTGAGTGAATTCTGACATGCTTGGTAAACTACATGTGCTTTATTCTGATCTTTTGACGGTGATGTGTACGATCCATATTGGTGTTGATGTTGTGGATTTTAGCAGTAAAGTATATTTGTATTGATTGTGATATTTCAGATATCATCCACTATGGAACCAGAGGTGAATGCCAGCAGAGCTGCCATACATCCCTGTTATGAATCATACGACTCGTCTTACAAATTTACAAGCAACCCTTCTTTTATTTGTGTGGCATTGTATGTTTTCCTTGGCTCTCTGTCTCTCATAACAGTGTGTGGAAATCTCCTTGTGATAACGTCAATCATGTACTTCAAACAGCTCCACACTCCCAACAACTACCTCGTTCTCTCCCTTGCTGTGGCCGACCTGCTTGTCGGCATTTTAGTTTTCCCCTTCAGCATGGCGTTCACCGTCACTTCATGCTGGTATGATGAAGATTTGTTTTGCAAAGTGCGAGGCAGCTTTGACGTGACACTGAGCACAGCTTCCATTTTGAACCTATGTTGCATTTCTATCGACAGGTATCACGCTGTGTGTAAGCCGCTGACTTACAAAAGTACAATGACTGATCGTATCATTGCAATGATGATTCTGGGATGCTGGGGTACGGCGGCTTTAATTGGAATTGGCATCATCATTGCAGGATTCAATCAGGGAAAATGTGAAGGGGACTGTGTAATTGATGCTTTGATATCAACCACTTTGGCATGTATTTTTTCTTTCTATATCCCAGTCATTATAATGCTTGGTATTTATCTAAAGATTTTCCTTGTTGCGCAGAGTCAGTTAAACAGCATCCACAGTACTGGCTGTCGAAGCAAAAAGTCTACTGCAGCTGTTAGCAAGACGGAAAGAAAAGCAACAAAAACCCTCGCTGTTGTGATGGGGGTTTTTATCTTGTGCTGGAGCCCCTACTTTCTGTGCATCATCTTTCAGCCTTTAACATATGATGTGACGCCAATTTCTGTTATCGAAACTCTAAACTGGCTAACTTTGTCAAATTCTATGTTGAATCCTTTCATCTATGCTTTCTTTTACAGCTGGTTTCGATCAGCTGTCAGAATGATGATTTCTGGAAAGATTTTTCAAGGAGACTTTGCAAACGCAAAGCTCTTCTAACATTATGTTTTAATGCGCATGTAACTTTTATTGGAAATTGATGTTTATAAAATCAATAAACATTGTTTCTATAACATAGAGTGTTTATTTACAGCACATTTACACAAGATACCAACAACAAAAGAGACCAAAATCTATGAATCAGATTTAGAATTAGGCCTCTTTCAAAGACTAGTAAAGAAAAAAACTATAAAGCTCATCTTAATTGATGTTTTCTGTCTGCCATAGCTTACAATAAATGTCCAAATGGTTTTAAATTATTCATACACTCCAGTAAGTCATCGTATAAATTAGTTCTGTTGATCTACTTCCAATTATCAACCCAGAAAAATGTGAACACACCTTACACCAGGTCAGGTAGTACTTTAAGTTTTCCTTGAAGATCTAAGTTAAGCTTGTTCAGATGATTCAACAAGAAACCACAAATCTGATTCCCACTGGGGGTCACAAAGCTTAGTTCTTCTCTTTCTCGCAGGTTTGCCAGTCCTGCTCTAGATAAGCATTGAATTAAACCTCAGTCTGTCTTGGATTTAACATCTGACTCTTTCAGATTAGACTTCAACATTGACTGATGTCTGATGTTTATCATCTGACCTTTCAGCTTCAGCTGTTTCTGATATCTGTGCATAGTTTGAAAAAAGGCTAGTCAGTGACGTAGTCAACTGAATGTGGTAGTATGAGATGAAGAGCGTTTGCGTTTCTATAAATGTTCAAGGAATGCTGTTTGTTGTGGCAACTCCCACAGAGGAAATGTAGCCTTTTATATGACAATAAGATATGACACTTTTTTGTTTTTATTATTTTGCTTACCTGTAACTGCATGGTATTCAAATCAGTTTCTACAGTATTTAATAGAATCAGCATGAATGTTTCAGGACAAACCTTTACCCCATTATGTGTTAAAATGACCTCAACTTTGAAACTAAACACTGAATGATGAAATTATGGGTGTTTAATCTAATAAGAAACAAATACTTTAGTTTGTTTTTATTTTTTACTCTATGCTTCCTTTCTAACCAGTCCCATCACTAAACTGGTGCTATGAACTATTCTTCCTGATTCCACCAGAAAAGTACAGACTGTGATCCGGGCAAACCAGTTTTATCTTAGTTTTGATTCAACAGCAGCCTAAGGCAGATGCATGCAAATAAAATGGTGTGACTTAGTTTCACTTTTAATCTGCACAATTGAGCCAAAAATAACTTGATGCTTTAAAGTTAATTTTAAAAGTTAGATTACGAACGGAATAACTGTGATCATCATCAGAATTTCAGTAAAATCTACAAACACCATTGTGCAACGTTCATACACGCTGATGGTGTTTCAATATCAAAAATCATTGGAGTTCTGAAATGCCAATCAGTGTTGCTGTGAGGAGTGTTCACTAAAATGTACATATATTTCTCGAAATGGTATTCATAAATCTAGCTGGTTGTATAAAGATATTACTGTTTTTGAACATTTTTATTTGCTCACATTTGTATTTTTTCCCAATAAGGGTACTTGTTCCCACACTAATATGCATAGATTATGCAAACATGATAAAGGAGCTTAGATCTAATTGGCTAATCAAATCATGTGGTGAATATGGTAATGAAAAGTGGATCCTATTATCCAGGTGAACACAGCTGAGCTCTGGACACATCACAAGGTAAGGGTGTGTGAAAACAGGTCCTACAGCAAACCTGCAACATACTAAACTGAATCCTGTCTGCTTTTCTCATCATCACAGGTTGATACAGTAAACTCTTCAGCATGGATGTAGATCTTGTGGTCAACAGCAGCAGTGTTGACCCCATACATCCCTGCTACATCTCAGACAATGGCACTTACATGTTTGCACATAACCCCTCTGTTATATGTGTATCTTTGTACATTTTCCTTGGATTACTGTCTGTAATCACTGTATGTGGAAACTCTCTTGTAATATTTTCCATCATTTACTTCAGACAGCTCCACACTCCTACTAACTACCTCATTCTCTCTCTAGCTGTCGCTGACCTGCTTGTCGGGGTCTTGGTGTTCCCCTTCAGCATGGCTTTCACCGTGACTTCATGCATGCACTATGAAAGTTTGTTCTGCAAAATACGCGACAGCTTTGACGTCACAATGTGCACGTCCTCCATTCTCAACCTGTGCTGCATCTCCATAGACAGATACCATGCAGTGTGCGAGCCCCTGACATACAGGTCGAAAATAAACGTTCGGGTAACCGGGGTGATGATCCTGTTCAGCTGGGGCGTCTCTGTCCTAATAGGAATTGGCATCATTGTTGCGGGATTCAGCCAAGGCGCATGTGAGGACATATGCTCTGTTGACATTATAGTGGCCAACACTATGGGACCTGTTTTCTCCTTTTACCTTCCAGCAGTCCTAATGCTCTGCATTTACTTTAAGATTTTCCTGGTTGCTCAGAGACAACTGAACAGCATCCAGAGCACAAATGGCCAGAGCATGAAGTCTGGAGCAATAGCCAGCAAGATGGAAAGGAAGGCCACCAAAACCCTGGCAACTGTGATGGGAGTGTTTCTTTTGTGTCTCTCTCCCTACTTTATCTGTGTCGTCTTCCAGCCATTATACTACAACCCGCCACCACTTCCTGTGATAGAAACACTGAACTGGCTTACGCTGTCAAATTCAATGCTGAATCCTTTGATTTATGCCTTCTTTTATAGCTGGTTCCGATCAGCTGTCAGGACGGTCGTCTCAGGAAAGATATTCCACAGCAATTCAGCCAACTCCAGATTATTTTGATATTTATATACGGTTGCACTTTACATATTGGGATTTTTCTAAATAATGATTAATGATAAACCCATGTAACAGGGGTAAAGTTTTGAAAAAATATTTAATCTGTTTTTATTTGCATAAAGAAGCAGCCTGTCAAGAACTATTTGTACCTTCTCAATTATCAGTGCAAAAATCTTTAATCGCATTGCATCAATAAAGCACTTCTTTCATTTGCTGTCCAATTTTTTATTTTTTTTTTGCACATCTCCACTATTTAATTTTACTTATTAATATTTTTAGGTCTCATACATTTTTCAAACACAAGTTTGGTACATATCCGGTTAAAGTCACGTACATTAAATAGTCTGATTCAACCTGATTTTTTATCATTTGGACAAATGCTAAAATTCGAAATCAAAGACACTGTTTTGAACACAGAAATAAATTAATGTTGCAGTTCATATCATCTGTATCTGTAATAACTCTTCAAAGAGTTATTACAGATACAGATGACAGTGAGCAGGAAGGAATTCCTGTAGCAGTCTGTATAACATCAAATCTGAAGAAGCCTCTGTCTATAATACTGATGAAGACGATGCTCAGGGTCGTTTATACATTTTCTGATTTTATGAAGAATCTATTTTTGCGCCATCAAATCTAGATGAACACTGAGGTATTTATATTCCCCAACCACCAATGCTTCGTTTCCCGTGATGGGACTAGTGTTTGACCAAATAATTTCTTCCAAAATCGACAGTCGTCTTCTCTGTTCTGTTCACATTACATGGTCCTACGCCATGATACAAAGCTCCAACAGGATTCATCAGGGTCTTTTCCATCTCTGATGAACCCAAAGACTTGAGTCTAAAATCAGGGAGATAGAGCACATCCCTTGATTTAAAGGCATCATTATTATGGTTCAAGATGATCTTGAACCATAGTAATTGGAACACTGACCAACATATTTGATGTGTATTGATAATACTATTGATGGCATTTAGTCATCTAGTGGGTAGGGTAGGATTAGGGGATATAAGATGAAAACCAGAGTTGAGTTGGATCACTCAAAATAGCTGAAAAACTATAAGGGTTATGGGAACCAAACATAGTCCAGAGAGTCTGTGGGAGGGGCCCCACAT